TTTTGGTGGGGCTTGAACTCTGGACCTGGGCCCTGTCCTTGAGCTCTTCAGCTCAATGCTAGAGCTCTACCACTTGAGCCACAGAGCCACTTCCAGTTTTCTGGTGGTTAATTGGAGATAAGGGTCTCACAGACTTTCTTGCCCAGGCTGGCTTTGAACTGTGATCCTCAGATCTCAGCCTTCTGAGTAGCTAGGATTATAGGTATGAGCCAACAGTGCCTAGTTGGCTTCAAATCACAATACTCCAGATCTGAGGCTCTTGAGGATCTAGGGTTTCAAGGGTGTATTTATTATAGGTAGTGTATAGGTATTTATTATTATTATTATTTTATAGATGATCTTCTAGATTTAAAGGAAAAATACTCAAAACATTTTATGGAAAGCTAGTGTTTTAAGGAAGATGGGATGTGTTTCTTAGTTCATTGCAGCCATGTTTTCAATGAGCAATAAATGTAAGCAAGGATATTTTAAGAAAGGCAGAAATAGAGAAGGTTTCATATACTATTAATTATCCTTCCATTTTTCCTAAAATCATGTTAACAACTATTGAATAGATAATAGTTGTCTACATCTTACGAAAAGTTAAAATTTTATAGCAATTCCTATTCAAGCTTTTGAGTGTATCACTCTAGCCTTCTTGCATACATGACCTGCTTTTACGTATTTTTTATGTAACATATTAATATTTTGAATAAGATTATATTTGCTTTGAAAATACTTAGCTGCAAGAGCTAAAGTAAGGAAATGATGGGAGGGGTGACGTTGATCAAGGTGCATTGTACTAGTAAACTGACATGCTGAATTGAGACTCTTAAAGATAATTTTAAAAATTATAATTAAAAAAATAAAATAGAATTTAGTTAAACACAAAGGTCAAATGAGAATCTTCTCACTTGTAGATAAAAACAAACCTGTACCTGAAAATGATCCCTAACCTATGTGTTTTTAGTCAGTGTATAATCATTAAATATAAACAAAAAGGTTAGTTTGCAAATTGGACTTCAAAATGGTCACTGTGGTTAGCATTTTAGAAGAGGAACATGTAAAGAGCAAAAAATGAATGGTCACTGTAGTTAGTGTTTTAGAAGAGGAACATGTAAAGAGCAAAGTAGAGGAAATATGCCTTCTTTAAATCTGTTATTTGTAGACCTGATTATTAGGCCATTCTCAGAAATGGTTTTTTTTTTCTTACAGGGAACCCAATGCCAGAAATCACATGGCACAAAGATGGACAACTCCTCCAGCAAGATGAAACCCACCACATAATGTCTGGTGGCCGGCTTCTTCAAATTTCTGATGCCCGAGTGTCTCACACAGGGAGATACACGTGTTTGGCTACTAATGCTGCTGGAGACAAGAACAAAAGTTTCAGCCTGAATGTTTTTGGTAAGAGTCCACTTTGCTGATGGCTTCAACATTCAGACTTGAGTATTGGCTAAAATCTCTTTATTTCACTATCTCAATCGCATAATTGCATTAAGGAAGGAACACCTAGACTTACACACATGTGCTGTTTTTTCTTTCTTTGTTCATCTGTAAGTTCATTCATTATGGTGGAATATGTACTATATTACAGGCAAGTGATGCCTTGTTGGGTGCATCACAATACATTTTTGAACAATACATTTGAACAATACATTTGAATAATACATTTGAATACTTTGAACAATACATTTATTAAACATACAGTAGTAAAAGTTATGGTAATCAAAAAGAAGTAGCTAAAGAAATGAATGGGTCTGAGATACATTGATCTTTAACTTTGTGTGACTGATATTGTTGGCAATTGTATTAGTATCTCTGTGGCCCGAAAGTAATGAAATTACTATGTGCATTTGTATACAGTTGGTTGCTGCATGGTCAATACTATGTTATGACATGAGCCACCAGCGCCCAGCTATATAACAGATTCTCAATCTCTGCTTATTTCTTAAAGTTTAAAAAGTACCACCTAAATTAATTCCACTTGATTACTAAATGCATTCTATTTGATTACTAACATCAAAATAATTCCTCTACCATTACCTGACTCATACGTGAGTATGCAGATTTTAGTCGATGATTGTTGGTTTGCTTTTGTAATCATAATACTTTGAGACTGCATAGGTTTATAAGAACTTCCTACATAAGGCATTGATCTCGGAGGCCATGTAATTTTATTTTATTTTATTTTTTATTATCCCTTCCCATCTCTCCCCTCCACCCCCCCCAGGCCAAAGTTGTAAAGTTTGTTTTTTCAATGTAACATCTTGTACATCTCATTGTTGCAATGGGTCCACCTGTAAGACCATGTAATTTTAAATGAGTAGAACAGATGTAGAAACAAGAAAAGCTAAGTCAAAATACTAAATATTGTACAAGTATCCAGTGGTTAGTATATTAAAAGGAGTGTCTATTGATAAAAGGCTATCAATATCCTCTTGGGTAGATCACATCTTTGTCTTATTTTCCCAGAATAGGATCACATAACAAGATATGGAGTTACCTATGAATAAAAGTTTACGAACCAGACCTGGAATCTCTCCACACTTACTCCTTGTGTAAAGGACTACAGCTCATTCTGTAGTTCATCGCTTCTTTTAAAACTCAGAAATTCCTCGATGCCTTATTCCTCCCACTGCTGATTCATCTCCCAGTACTGATCCATTTTAAATTCTTCTGCACTGCCCTGCCTATAAAACAAATTTATAAGTCTATCCAACCCCTACCTATAATTGAAATTTGGCTTCTCAGCTCCCTGGAGGACATCTGCTAGGCAGATCACTTAGACTTTATTCTAGGTTTCCTGAGTCAATCTATCTACTACACACCTTCCTTGCAACCTTAGCCCTTCTGGTTACATATCTCCATCATCATTCCCATTCATTGAAGACTGATGGAATCTGATCTGAAGTCTTCTTTTCCACCAGCTTAATACGCTGAGGCTATTCAAGTGTGTATATTTTCAACTTCCAATCTCCTCAGCCATAAACTTGGTGCCTTTACCCTTCCTTCCTTCCTTACTTTATCTGTCCAACTGCCTCACCTTACACTGTTTCTACTATCACATGTGTGTGTGTGTGTGTGTGTGTGTGTGTGTGTGTGTTAATTGTCCTAGGGTTTGAACTCAGGGCCTAGGAGCTGTCCTGTGCTTTTGTCCTCAAGGTTAGTCCTTTACCGCTTAGATCACAGTTTCACTTTTGGGTTTTTTTGTGTGTGCTTAACTGGAGATAAGAGTCTCACAGACTTTACTGCCTGGGATGGCTTTGAACTGTGATCCTCAGATTTCAACCTCCTGAATAGCTAGGAGTATAGGGTGAGCCACCAGCACCCAGCTTACCATGACATTTTTAGGCACACTTTGCCTGTACTTTGCTAATAAAAACAGGGCTTTTTGGGCTGTTAAGCAAGTTCTCCCCTGTTGCTAAAGCCTTGTGCTTTTTTTTTATTCCTGATCCTAGCATGGTTTACATGATTGACTGTTTTCTTCTTGCACTGTTCATTCCTAACTAGTGATCTTTGCTTGCCCTGGTTGGTCCCTAAATTTCTTTGTTGGACTCTCACTTGATTTCTCTTATGAAACGTTGTGATCACTATAATTCTGTTTTTACTTCATCAGTCTTTTTACTCTAGATATTCTCTTCAAGGAATACAATTCAATCCCAGATGTTTAAATATACATTTGTGACTTGTAAAATCCAAAACTGCAATGCAGATCTTTCTTAGAAGTTTCAAATTCTATGTACAATTATTTGTTAGAATTTCAAGCTGGAATGTAGGACTTAAAATATAAAAAGATTTACTAGTGAAGAAACTCCTCCTCTCTTAAAAGGGCAAACCTTTCTATATGTTTTACATGTTTTTTAATGCAGTTTACCTATATTTGCAAGGAAGATAATTTGGAAGGTATGTTTGACTTCAGTTTCTTTTACTCTCTCCCATCAAATCCTGTCATGTATCCTACTCATTAAGTTCCTAAGTGCCTCTTTAATTGGTTTCTTCTCCTTATTCTTGTTTAGACAAGTCTCTGTTAAACTTGCTTCCAATATATTGACACAGCCTATCTCTGCTGTTTCCCACCTGCCCCCACTGTGTACTACCACCACTCTGCTTCCAGTGAGTGCCTTCTTTTCTCTCTCTCTCTTTTCTTTCTTTCTTTTTTTTTTTTTTTGGTGGGTTGTGAGACTTAAACTCTGGGCCTGGGTGCTGTCCCTGAGTTCTTCAGCTCAAGGTGAGCACTCTACCACTTGAGCCACAGTGCAACTTCCAAGCACCTTATTTTTTTTAATTGTGAAAATACCATACAGAAGGGTTACAATTACATGAGCAAGGTAATGAGTACATTTCTTATCAAGTATTGTTGCCTCCTCCTTTGTTTCCCCTTCCCATCCCTGCCACCCACGCCCTCCCCCCCCCTGGTCAAAGTTGTAAAGTTCATTTTTGGACATAAAGTCTTGTACATCTCATTGTTGCAGTGGGTCTACCTGTATCCCTACTTAAACGATTTGTTTTTTCCCTTCCCCTCCATAAATTATACCAATATCAAATGCAGTGAAAGCAGGGGTTATACCGTGGGGGAGGGACATACAAAGCAACAAAGAAATCATCTTATAAATATATTAGAAAAAATTGCAAGAAAGAAAAAAATTTGAATCCTTATCTTGGGGTTCATTTCTCCTAACATCAACCTACTTGACCATTTCTGCTTGTCTCAGACATATACTAGTTATTGCATATAAGGGAAACCATGGGACCTATGTTTCTTTGGGCCTGTCTTACTACACTTAATATAATTTTTTCCAAGTCTTTTCATTTCCTAACAAATGGAACAATGTCATTCTTTCTGATAGAGGCATAGAATTCCATTGTGTATATATACCACATTTTCTTGATCCATTCATCTACTGAGGGGCATCTGGGTTGGTTCCAGATCTTAGCTATGGTAAATAATATTGCAATAAATATAGTTGTGCTGGTAGCTTTAGTATAGTCTTGTTTGTGATCATTTGGGTAAATGCCCCAAAGTAGGATTGCTGGGTCATAGGGGAGCTCTATGTGGAGTCTTTTGAGGAACCTCCATACTACTTTCCAAAGTGGTTGAAGAAGTTTACACTCCCACCAACAATGCAGTAAGGTTCCCTTCTGTCCACATCCCCTCCAGCATCTGTTGTTATTAGAGTTCTTGATTCTAGCCATTCTAACTGGAGTGAGGTGGTATCTCAATGTTGTTTTGATTTGCATTTCTTTTATGGCTAGGGAGGTTGAGCATTCTTCATGTATCTAAACATCATCCTTCCTTCCTCTTCAGAGAAGTTTCTCTTTAAGTCTTTAGCCCATTTATGAATGAGACAGTTGTTTCTTTGAGGATTTGTTGTTGTGGGATTTAATTTTTTGAGTTCCAGGTATATTTTAGATATGAGACCCTTGTCCATTGTATGGCTAGTGAAGATCTTCTCCCAGTCCATGGGCTTTCTATTGATCTTGCTAGCTATGTCCTTTGCCATGCAGAAGCTCTGCAATTTCATGCAATCCGATTTGTCCAACCTTTCTTTGATTTGTTGTATTTCTGGGTCTCTATTAAGAAAATTTTGTCCTGTGCCAAGGAGACCTAGGGTTTCTCCTATAATGTTTTCAGGGTGTCTGCTTTGACTCTGAGGTCTTTGATCCATTTGGAGTCGATTCTGGTGCAGGGTGATATATAAGGATCTAGCTTTAGTTTTCTACAAGTGATTAACCAATTTTGCCAGCACCATTTACTGAAGAGGTTGTCTTTCTTCCATTCTATTTTTTTTAGCTCTCTTATTGAAGATTAGGTTGCTATAGGTCTGTGGGTTCATTTATGGGTTTTCAATTCTATTCCATTGTTCTTGTGCCAATACGAAGCTGTTTTGATTACTATGGCTTTGTAGTAGAGTTTGAAATTTGGTATTGATATTCCTCCATCACTGTTCTTTCTGTAAGGATCATTTTTGCTATTCCAGGTCTTTTATTGTTCCATAGGAATTTTTGGATTGCCTCTTCCATTTCCTTAAAGAATGAGGTTGTAATATTAATAGGTATCACATTGAATTTGTAGATAGCCTTGAGAAATAATGTCATTTTCACGATGTTGATCCTTCCAATCCAGGAGCATGTGAGGTTTTTCTACTTTCTAAGTTCTGTTTTGATTTCCTTTTTCAGGTTTTTAAAGTTTTCATCGTAGATGTCCTTCACTTCTTTGGTTAATTCCTAGGTATTTTATTTTTTGTGGGGCTATTACCAATGGAATTGCTTTCCTGATTTCAGCCATGCTTTTCTCATTGTTGGCATACAGAAAAGCCATTGATGTTTGAGGGTTAATTTTATTCCCTGCTACTATGCCAAAGTTTTGAATCAGCTTGAGTAATTTGGAAGTGGAGTCCATGGGATTCTTTAAATACAAGATCATGTCATCTCAAAGAGGGAGAGTTTTACTTCATTTTTCCCTATTTGGATCCCTTTTATGCTTGCATCTTGTCTTATTGCTGTAGCTAGGCATTCTAATACTAGATTGAAGAGAAGTAGAGAGAGTCGACATCCTTGTCTCGTTCCTAAGTTAAGAGGAAATGGCCACACACCTTCTTTATATTAACATTCTTTCTTTTAGGTGCAGATAGCACTCTTCCTTAAGGCTCACTTTAAAACCTCTTTTAGATCTAGTAGGAACCTTCACACCACATACTCTGGAGTGACTTCTGTCATTCCTTTTGCCTTTCAGTAGTATTCACGATCTGTTCTTCTTCCATCTATGTTGTGATTTCCTTTTTATATGTCTTCCCCTCCATTACCTGAGTGTTATTTTTTTTTGTTGATTGCCTTTGAATAAACCAAGAACAACAACAAATTATTTTTGTAAATATTCACAAATGAAATTACATCAATAAATGTCCTGGCAATTTGGAAATGCACATTTGAGGAAATTCCTCAATTTATTTCATTAAATGTGTTGCTTTTTTTTCAGTATCACCCACAATTGCTGGGGTAGATAGCAACGGCAGCCCTGAAGATGTCATTGTTATCCTTAATAGCCCCACGTCTTTGGTGTGTGAAGCATACTCGTATCCTCCTGCTACTATTACCTGGTTTAAAGATGGAGCACCTTTAGAATCCAACCGAAATATTCGCATTCTTCCAGGTAATGAACTTACTTCAGCTACCCAACAAGAATCTAGGTCATCTATTACTGTAGAAAAGCAGAATCATTGCCTATTTTTATAAAAAAAGACCTATGATATTGGTTATAGTCTATTCTATTGATGTTATACTTTCTGTTTATATTTATGTAAATATCTACTTATATACCTATAATCAAAAATGCCAAAAATTACTTTTTTGAAAAATATTTAAAACGGCCCCAATATAATTAATTGCTAAAATATCTTGTAATGTAGAACACTGAAAGGATAGGAACTCATCAACTTATTTTATCTCTTAAAAGGGAGTTAGTATTAGACTGAGTTATTCTTCTTTAATGCCAGCTATTATTTATATAAGTAAAAAAGATTTAAAAGTATAATTATTGGTCTTAAGAAACTTGAAGTCTTATGTGGAGGAAATAAAATATATGAGAAAAGCTAATTAACAAAATGGATTTGTGAATAATCATGAGTAAAAAATTTGAGGTGGAGCTAGGCGCCTATGGCTCATGTCTTTAATCCTAGCTCACAGGAGGCTGACACCTGAGGATCCTAGTTCAAAGCCAACTTTGAAATATTTAAATCACCAAAAAGCTGGAAAAATGGGGCTGTATCTCAAACAGGAACATCACCCAGGCCCTGAGAATAAGCCTAGGAGACACACACACACACACACACACACACACACACACACACACTACCACCACCACCACCACCACCACCACCACACAATGAGAGGTTATGAAAAATTGAATAGTTGAAAGATTTCTAAGAATTAAAAGGAGAGATGGCTACCTATGATCAGAAGTGGCCAGAAAAAGCCTGTTGCTTAGTCAGAATGTGGCCCAGACTTCAAAGGAAGTTCCAAAGTTTATCTCATTGGCAGTGCATTGGGAGAGATTTCAAGTCCCACAGGATGACAAGTATGGAAAAGTATAAAAGAAGAATGTATAGGTGATAATAAGTAGATTTCTAGTGTACTACTTGAAAGGGAACAGCTGAAATAAAGTAAGAAAATAGGAACTATGTGTTGAATGCATGGATTAAAGAGTTTTCATATCATACCCATGATTGGAGCACCCATGAAACTATTCTTCGGAAGAAAACTGTGCTCTAAAAAATTTAATCTCTACTGATAGATTAAAGGGGAAGATGATGACTAAGGCAGAAATTTGAGTAAAGTAAGAACTTTAGCTAAAGTTGTATACAGGAGTGGGAATGTATCAGAAAGGTCATAAAGTCATTATTGGAGAGCCCACCGGGCTGGGTAACTGTCACCCCCATACAATGCTCATGTCTGCAGTTAGTCTTATCTCAACCAAATAGAGAGGCATATAAAAGAGGCATATAAAAGAAGAAACAAGTTCCAAATAGCTAAAATCCTGGTGGGCTGCACATCCTCTACTCTGAAGTCAGAGGTTCTTTAATGTTGCATGATGTCTCAGGAGGGAGAACTCTGCAGATCCTCAATGCACAGGAAGACAATGCCGGGAGGTACTCTTGTGTGGCCACCAATGAGGCTGGAGAAATGATGAAGCATTATGAAGTGAAGGTCTACAGTAAGTTCTGGAAGAATGTGATATTTTCTGTCTTCTCTGATGTTTCTCACTCTCTCATGTCTGTTTGCCATTATGGGTTCATAATTATTTAAACTGACCATTAAGGACTCTTGTTATCCAGTCTGTTTAATGAATGATGGAAATAGAAGTAAACATTGTACCCATGACCTCAATTGCTTAAAGATGTGAAGATCCCACTCAGTCTGCTCATTGCACTCTTGTTGAGAATTTTGGAATGGCACTGTTTTTCTTCATGACTTGCTCTGTGGGATGAGTTATAATAGCTTCCTGTACAGAGTTGTGGTTTAAATACTTATGCCATAATCCACAGCCTAACATGAGACCCTCAATGATCTGACACCATCATGATGTACAGTCACCTTTGAGCAAAGCTAAGACTGCCACTAATAGGATCCACATCTCGGGATGTTTTACCCCTGTTTTTATACAGAAGGAGTATTTTTTAATTGTCATTTCTTCTTTGACTTACCCTTAACAATAAATAAAATACATTTCATGGTTCAAGCATGGACTATTTTTTGTGGACCTGGAACAAAGGAAACTGGCTGTTGTATGAATATGTTGGCTTCCTTGGCAGTTTTAGAAAAATGAAAGGAAAAAGCTGGTTTCTCTCACACTCTGTATCTAAATAGTACTGATCCTAGATTGATAACTCAAAGCCCTTAATTGAAGGGCAATATGGGAAATATCCTTGCCATTTCCTTATTTTCTGGTTAAATGATCTTCATTATGATCCTCATGGTATGTCATGTATCTGAAAAAGAAAAACACAAAGATTAATGCTTTAATATTTGTTTTGAGCAGTTCCGCCAATAATCAGTAGAGGAGACCTTTTGGGGCCAGGTCTTTCCCCTAAAGAAGTAAAGATCAAAGTAAATAACACCCTGACCTTGGAATGTGAAGCTTATGCTATTCCTTTGGCCTCTCTCAGCTGGTACAAGGATGGACAGGCAAGTCACAACTATTCTCACTTACTGGTAATTTCTTAAAGATGACAATAACCAATTAAGACAAAAGCATGCAGAAGTGACTTGGCGTATCATTGTGACCTTAAAAAGTAGCCAACATCATTGCTCCTAGAATCTGAAACTGCTTAAGTCAAAAACCAAAGTCACATTCAAACATTTTGGCATGGTTCCAACACTGAGCAGGTTTCAGGATTGTTCTTGTAGGTATTAGCAACTGACTACAAAAACCTCATCCCACTCCTACAGAAGTTTGACAAACAGGGTGTCTGCTCTGTGGTTTCACTAAGTGAACTTCTATAGAGAAGAAATCAATACATCATGCTATAGCAGACTTAAATACTAGGTATATAAGATGGGCATTCAAGTTATTCAGAAGTCTCACTAAACATCTTTAACTCCAGTTACAAGAGGTAAAATTTTTGATATTCCAAACTATTGGGGATAAAGCTAAGGGACAGAAAATCAATTTGGTTACCTGTAGTATAGGGAAAAACATGAAATGACTGGCAAATCCTCAGTTCTCTGATCAGACTCTCAGTCTACCCACCTATTTGCCATTTAATTCACATTCTCCTGTGCATGTTATAAAGATATATGTACTGATATTCTTAAGCCGACATAGAATTTTTATCTGATACTGATACTGTTTAATACAGTTGTGGAATAAGCTATCCTGTGGTTTATTCGTTTTTACATATCATTAACCACATGGCCATGTCATATTCCAGTTGTAGAACTTCAGGTAGATTCAGGCAAAGATATCACATTTGCTTTTCAGACCCCAGATAGATTTTGCTAGACTAGAAGTGAGTAGGCAAAAAAAAAAGTCATCTCATATAAAATAAGCAAATTTCGCTGGGCTCTGGTGGCTCACGCCTGTAATCCTAGCTACTCAGGAGGCTGAGATCTGAGGATCGCGGTTCAAAGCCAGCCCGGGCAGGAAAGACCGTGAGACTCCTATCTCCAATAAACCACCAGAAAACCGGAAGTGGTGCTGTAGCTCAAGTGGTAGAGCACTCGCCTTGAGTTGAAGAGCTGAGGGACAGCGCCCAGGCCCAGAGTTCAAGCCCCATGACCAACAACAAAAAAAAAAAAGTAAAATAAGCAAATTTCATCTGGAAACGATTGCAGGAAGAAAATATAGAACTCCCACTAGGTTGTTTATAGTTTCTTTTTCTGACTATAATCATGCTTCATGGTGCAATATCAATTCTATTTAAGTTTATTTGGAAACAATTCCTCACTCCTTTGAATTTCTATTATTATTTTAATCTTCTGTATATCTTTTTCATTGCTTAGTTACTCTATATACACATACACATAAACATACACACATAAAACTTAAAGACTAAACAAGGTTCATCTTGAAAGTTATTCCAACACTGCAGAAGGAAGAAAGTGATTATTTGCATCAAGATCATAAATCTAAACTAATTGTTGGGTATAAAGGAAAGAGATGAGCCCAAAATTCACATGAAATCACTGGGAAAGTGATATTTGTAAAGAAGAGATACAGAGATTAAGCTTTGAGTGTTCCCTCATTTGAAAGTTAAGAAACTGCCAATGTAGTATGTCAAAAAATAAAGGGGAAAAGATATTTCAAAAAGACATAACTGTGTCATATACCAGTAAGTACCAGCAATGTAAAATAAAGTTTTAGAATTGAGCAATAAATTTAGCAACGTGAATGTCATTGGTGTTTTCAATCAAGTAGACCTAACAAAAGCTCAGTTAAATCAGATTCGAGGAAAGATGAAAGGAAAAAATTAGACATAGCACATACAGAAAGCATTTTAATATGTTTTTCATTGTAGAAATATTGTACAGAGGGGTTACAGTTACATGAGTAAGGTAATGAGTACATTTCCTATCGAGCATTGTTACCTCCTTTGTTTTTCCCCTACAATCCCCACCTCCCCAACTCCTCCCTCCTCACCCCCCAAGTTGTAAAGTTCATTTTCAAAATACTGTCTTGTACATCTCATTGTTACAATGGATCAACCTGTATCCTTATTTCAGCATTTTGTTATTTCCCTTCCCCTCCCCAAATACAGTGAAAACGGTTATGCCATGGGGGAAGAACATACAAAAGAAAAAAAAGTCGCGTAGTACATTTTAAATACATTATGATATGATAAACCAAACTGTAATTTTTAATCATAAAAATATACAAATATATCTCCCATAAATACCTGGCACAATTGAAAGCCAACTCAGCTGTAATCATCAATAAATAATCATCGCTCAAAAACTATTTTAATCAAAGTAAATTAATTAGTGTTAGCTTGACTATATTCCATAAAATTGTATTTCCATTTATTACACATCATAAAAATGATCAACTATATGGTCCCTGAGAGGATTTATGATGTATATGATGTTAACATTGTTATCATTGAATCACAGCCTCTTAAATCAGATGATCATGTCACCATTGCTGCAAATGGGCACACACTTCAAATAAAGGAGGCTCAAATATCAGACACTGGACGGTATACTTGTGTTGCATCTAACCTTGCAGGGGAAGATGAACTGGACTTTGATGTGAATATTCAAGGTAATACTTGCATATTTATTGCATAAAATTTAGTGCACGATCTATCAAACTAATGGAAGAGATTTGACTTGGTTTATTTTAAATAGATTTTTTCCTCTTGGTAATATTAGAAAATAAATCATTTTTGATTATTTAAACTCAAGAAATTCAGGAAGAATTTTTTATTATCTTCAGACGTTGCACAGTGCAGTTTCAATGTAATATATCCATTTATATGTACCATGAATGTCTCTTGATCAGAGCCAGTTCAAACTTCTAAGTGTACATACAACTCATCTGGATAATTAAATCACACAATACCAACTTCTCTAATACATTTTCATTCCCCTAACATTATATCATGGCATTTTAACAATAGAATTTATGTGGAAGACAAAATCCCTAAAGAGTTCAGAGTAGTCGACATTGAATTGGTGATCATTACAACTCCTATAAGCTTTGTGACTTGAACAAGTTACCTGCATATTTCAAACCTTGATCTTTCCCTTAAAAATCATTGCCTTTGTTTGTACAGTTGTGAATATGAACTGAGGTAACCTATATAAGCTCTTAGTTAAATGATTGAGAAACACTGATTGTTTTGTTTTGATATTGTTTTCCTTACTGCTTTTCAACATGATTTCTTGGTTCCTTGCTAGGGATTGAACCCAAGTCTTCAATCATGTTAAATTAGTGCTCAACCACAAACCTTTATCTCTAGCTGTCATCATGATTTTTGATAACTCTTACTTGCTTCACACTGGATATTCAAATATTTGTGTAATAATACTCCTTTTGTGTTATTACAAACCACTAAGTGGTTTCCAACTTTTTATTACTTATATGAATCACCATACTGAATATATGTACACATAAAAGTTTTGCCCATCTTTGACTTTATACAAATGGCTAGAAGTAGAAGTTTTAGGTTAAAAGTTATGCACTTTTAGTATGTACCAGTCCTAAAACTGTAACTCAGGGCCTCTAGCTCTTGCTAAGTCTTTTCATTCAAAGCAGGTACTCTACCACTTGAGCCGTGCTTCTGTTGCATCTGGCTTTTTGCTGGTTAATTAAAGATAAGAATCTCTTACATTCTTCAGCCCAGGCTGGCTTCAAGCGGTGATCCTCAGATCTCCGCCTCCCATATCTAAGAGGGTGATGGTAAGCCACCACCACTCAGGAGAAAGTCAGGGACTTTTTAAATGTGTGTGATGTACAGTCAAATCACCTTCAAGAAGGTTCACACTTGTTCCCAGGAATGGATGAGTTGGTCCTATTAAATGGAGTTTCTTATCCTGATTGTTGTGGACTTCATTTGCCTTCTTACATTGTTGGGAAATGCCTTCTATAATTCAGTGGTCCACCAAAATTAGCTTTTCCTCCCATGATCATATTTCTTAGCTCTGTCCTGAGAACAGGTATTCAATGCTTTTCAGGGAGGTAAGAGCTATAATGAAGCCTTCCTAAGTTCCATAGCTCTGGTCTCCTGCACATGAGAACCAACTCCACTTTTGTCTGCTACTTTGTTTAGCTAACAACTGGTGTTGGTGCACGTATCAGTACTTGAAAATATTGTCATCATCTCCAGTTTATGTTTGCAGTCACTTGTCAAAAACAGTCAAACTTTTGTGTTTCATGGGTTGACCTTGATCATTCACACATAAACAAAATGCGTGGTGTTTATTCGTAGTTCCTCCAAGTTTTCAGAAACTGTGGGAAATAGGAAACATGCTAGACACTGGCAGGACTGGTGAAGCCAAAGATGTGATCATCAACAATCCCATTTCTCTTTACTGCGAGACAAATGCCACTCCGCCTCCCACGTTGACGTGGTACAAAGATGGCCAGCCTGTGACTTCAAGTGACAGAGTCTTGATCTTCCCAGGTGAGTGATACCACTGACATGAGAGTAGGAAATCTCTGCCAAGTGTGTTGTTCTCTTTTATAAGACAATTACATTGATGGCTCTCTGGTGATACAATTTTAATGACACAGAAGCCGTTGAATGCTACATGTGTTGTAGGTTCAATCTAGAAGAGGCTAGTCTGAGAGCTGAACAGTGGCATAGAATATTTTAGTCATGTCTACTACAGGATCTTGCATGAGCTCCTCCCATCTTCCTGTGTTTCCTTTGCTCTGTTAGTACAAGGAGAGAATTAGATTAGTTTTATAAAAAAAAAGCATTGTTAAACAAATTATAATATATTTTCCCAAGGGTGGCTACTGAACTTATTATAGATAAGTGATAAAATTTGTTTCAAATAGTTGTTTGATTTTTTTTGCCCAGTCCTGGGGCTTGAACTCAGGGCCTGGGCACTGTCCCTGAGCCTCTCTACCACTTGAGCCACAGCACCATTTCTGACTTTATGTGTATGTGGTGCTGAGGATTCGAACCCAGGGCTTTGTGCATGCTGGGCAAGCACTCTACCACTGAGCCACATTCCCAGCCCCTGTTTCAAATAGTTGAGATATTACATTGTTTATAGAAAGAAAAGGTGTTTGAGATGTCTAGGAGTATTATTTTTGAGAGCTTCAAAATAATTTTGACAAGTGTCAGGGTCTGTTTAAGTTCATCCTAAGGTGTACACTGTGTTAGCATATTAAACAATTATGTGTAAATTTGACCTGCAATAAAATGATATCTTTCAAAATTAAAAAATATAAAAGGGGACTAAAAAGATAAGGTAACTATATTTAATATATAAGATTAAATTTGACCTAAGTCTAGGGGTGAAATGGCTATAAAAAGTATACTGCAGCAATAATGAAGCCAGAAACCAGTTTCATTGTTGAACAGCAGTAATGAAGATGGTTCAGCAATGGTTTTGTATTGGTTTTAAATTTCCCTGCTTTTGATGATTGTTCTGTGGTTATCTAGGGGATAGTCTTTATTCTTATTTAGGAGCACTTCAGATTGAAAGGGAACCGTGTCTGCAGTTAACTCTCAAGTGGTTCAGAAAAGGAGTGCATAATAAATGAAAATAAATGATATGAGCTAAAAGTAATTGGTAAGTGGTAAGTTCGAATGAAAGTTTTATAAAAAGTTATTACACCTTTTCTCTAAGTGAAAAATATCAACATAAAAAACTTTAAAACCAGCTACTGTGGCTCTTGCCTGTAATCTCAGCTATTCCAGAGGAAAAAGTAAGAGGATCAGGAGTTCAAGGCCAACCAAGGTAAAGTTCATGAGCAACCTTATCAGAAAAACAAATGAGTTCTTTTTTTTTGGGGGGGGGGTCTGGTCATGGGGACTGAACACTGGGCCTGGGCGCTGTCCCTCAGCATTTCAGCTCAAGGCTAGCACTCTACCACTTGAGCCACAGCGCCACTTCCAGCTTTTTTCTTTTTGCTTATGTGGTGCTGAGGAATCAAACCCAGGGCCTCAGGCATGCAAGGCAAGCGCTCTACCACTGAGCCACCTTCCCAGCCCCAATGAGTTCTTTTTAAGGGACTGAAAGTGTGGAGAGCTCCATAGGAAACAGTGCAAATATCTATTAGAGATACAAAGTTGGGCATGATAGTTGATGCCTATTATGTCAGGTACTCAATAGATGGAGGCAGGAATTCCACAGGTTTCAGGCTAGCATGGATAAAGGTAGCTAAGAGACATTGTCTCAAAGCCAAACACAAAAGCAAAAACAAAACAAATGGGTTGAACAGGGAGTAGCTCCAGTATTGAGGGCTTTCCTAGCACCTACAAGGTCCCAGGTTCAATCCCAACACCCCAAAAGACAAGGGAAAGGGAAAAGTATCAAAAGTTGAAAGGAAATTATCACAGCATGATTAGCATCCTATATGGAACATGTTGGGATATTATCCATTACCCGCCTCTGGGAAGATTTACATGAGCTATTCATTTTTCAGGAAATCTGGTTTATATTACAAAATTGGATTACTTTTTAATAAGGCTATGTTTGTTATAGAAATGGATAGTATCTGAGATTTATTTTTTAGAACTCAGTGATTGAATGAAATGAGAGCCTTGGAAGAAAATGTGAGGAAGCCATTCTTCATGACAATGTGTGTCTGGGTGTGTGATTTGTAACACACAGAGGAGCAAACACACTGGGGTGTATTTTCAGGAGGGCGAGTGCTACAGATTCCCCGGGCAAAGGCAGAAGATGCTGGGAGATACACGTGTGTGGCCGTGAATGAAGCTGGGGAAGATTCTCTTCACTATGACGTCCGTGTCCTCTGTAGGTTGCTTGTTTTTTGTTTATTGTACGCTCTTTCACTCAAAAAGATTTTTCAAGAACTAATGTGTACAAGCTGTTACCCTAGGCACTTTAGAGACTATAAAAATAATCAGAAACCGACAGTCCCTCCAAGGAATTAATTGTTGTATATACAAAATTCAGAGCACATTGTTGTCAGATCTCAGATAGCAAGATGGTTTAAACCAAAAACTCATTGACTCATGACTCGGAAAAGTCCCAGAGTTGAGCTGGCTATCATCATGTCTGCCTTCTATGTATCAAAAGAGATCAGCCACAGTGAGGTCTGAGGGTCTGCAAGAGGCTACTGGGCTGACAGAAGTAAGAAGAGGAAGGAGTAGGGTTTTCAGAGCAAAGAGCAGTTTATAAAGGACTCCTGTAAGGAAGTATATGAAACAAAATTCCAATTTTGATTTATTAACAAACACACATTCTGTGTTTCACTATAAGCCCGGCACTATACTAGGCACCAAGAATATATACCAATAGCAAATAGCCGAAAAACCCCATATTGTTGAATGTTATTTCAAAAGAACATTGAAATTCTGTTATATACATTGCAGTGTTATTTTCTTTATAAAATTCCAGTCTCATTCCTGGAGATCTGAATAACCACAAGAGTACCCTTTACTGCGTATTAGTAACCTCATGTACTTTAGCAGAATGAAGTGAAAAGGAACCAAACTTGTAAACCCAAAGAATGATTATTTTAGACTTTCGTAGTTGCATTCACAAAAGCAGCCATCCTCTGCCTTCCGGACTTAGTTGATGTTTCTATAATTTTTCCTATGGACAATATGGTATCTTTTATAACTAACACACACACACACACACACACACACACACACACACACACACACATATGCTATTAAAGCATTTTAAATAAAAATGGATGCTTCTAGGAAAAGCTACAGACTTCTCCAACTTCAGCATTTATGAGGTCACCTGGAGAGCTTGCCAAGATACTACCTTCCTGTACCTCGTTATAGATGCCTACTGGGGAGGTCTGATTAGGGCCCCCAAAATGTGCATTATAACCAAGTACTTGGGTAATGCTGATGCTAATGCCATTGATGGTAAGTCCAGATAATCCCTTACAAATCAGACAAAATCTGCACATTGCAAATACACTTTAAAAGATGTAAATTAGCTGTGAGCTAGCAACTCATGCCTATAATCCTATCTACACATGAGGCAGACATCAGGAGTATAGTGGTTCAAAGTCATCTTGGCCAGAAAAGTCTTCAAAATTCTATCTCCAAAAATAGCTATCAAAAAGCCAGGCTGGGAACATAGCTTAAGCGATAAAGCTCCAGATGAGTATGCAAAGCCATGAGCACAAGGCCTGAAGTGTGAACCCTGGTATTAGTAAAAGGAAAAAATAGCTGAAATTTACTAGTCTTGATCAGAAAATAGCTTTACTTAATAGAAGCAGTACCCAGAAGGTACCCAGAAATGCTGGAAGAGGGATTGACCTGGGATTGAACAATAAGGAGATGACATCATTGAAGGGATTAATTCACAGTAGATAAGAGAGGAAAAAGAATAAACTCACATGCTCAGTTCACCACCTGAATTTATTAGTATAAAATTTTGCTCCTTGAGAATTATGGCTTCTACTTCGTTTTCCTTCTCTGTTACCATCTTGACTTTTTGATGAGCTGTCAGAAAACTAGTCATTGTAGATTTCCTAATCATTTAGAAAAGTACTTGTTTTCTGTCCGTATCTCATTTCTGCAATCATTTCCTAGTGCCACCAGTTATCAAGGGAGCAAATGGTGATGTCCCAGAAGAGGTCACCGTGCTGGTGAATCATCATGCACAGATGGAATGCTCCGCCAGTGGCAGCCCAGCACCCAGGAATGTCTGGCAGAAAGACGGACTGCCCGTGCTTGAAGATGAGCACCATAAGTTTCTCTCGAATGGAAGGATTCTGCAGGTAAAATGAAAAACCTAATTTTAGGTCACAACCATTGTTTGACTTGGTACTTTATTTATGATCGTAGTTTTCCAGATTCAAAAACATTTTAGGAGAGCCTAGGCAAATTTTCTTTATGGAGATAAGTAATCATCATGAGAATAAAAGATAAATTATTCTGTTTCCATTGTTAGAAATTACCACCCCAAAAGCTTTTATATGAATTCTCCCAGAATTCATTTGTACATACAATAAACCCCCTATGTTTATGTTGATAAATTATATGTAATAAAAGCCATTATTATTTATTAAATCATTATCTCCATCCTCTGTCTTTAATCTAAAGGCTCCTTTAGATTAAAACTTGTTCTACATTTGCAAAGGATTAATAAGAAGAAATAATGGGAACCACATCAATAGATTAGATTATTGTTCCTCATTACACTTGTCTATATTTCTTTAACCAAGTGTCCTGAACTAAGGTCAGACATGTATAGAATAGAATATAGATTGATTAGAATGCAGATTGATTAGCTGGGCACCAGTGGCTCACACCTGTAATCCTAGCTACTCAGGAGATCTGAGGGTTATGATTCGAAGCCAGCCCAGGCAAGAAAGTCCATGAGACTCTTATCTCTAGTTAATCACAGAAAAAGCCAGAAGTGGTGCTGTGGCTCAAGTGGTAGAACAGTAGCCTTGAGCAAAACGGAGCCCAGGGACAGTGCCCATGACTGGAGTTCAAGTCCCAGGACCAGCAAAAAATAAAATAAAAAAGAATACAGCTTGATTAAATCATTACTTCAACAAAATGAACACTATTCTATTGGTAGAGAAATGTAAAACATAACAGTGTATCCAACACAGGGCATATGTCACAGAATTTATTATACATAAAAGAATCAGGCTATCTATAAATATTAGCTAAGCATCAAGGATATATTTGCTTGATGACCATCCATCTCTACCGAAATACTTCAATGTTTTTGTGTCTAGGGAAGAAAGACATGTGGAGGCATAGAAATTTCTGCCTAATAAATATCCTGCTTTATTAGCTAATGCTTGCTGCATGAAACAAATAGCTCCAAAACTAAATGACTAGAAAGGAGACGCATTATTTAGTTCCTAGGTCTGCCAGTTGGTTGCGTGATGTTTCTGGTCTCAGTGGGACTTGTTTGTGTCTGCATGGAGCTGTGGATTGAGTATGTGACTTTGATGGGTCTTGTCTGGGCTCTTGCATGTATCTGGGCCCTCAGATGCAATAAGTGCGCTGGCTCTGCCACTCCTGATCACAGCTTCCTCAATCCACTCATGGCTTCTCCACCACGAAAGTGACAGAGTTCCAAAAGGGAGAGACCCAAAATGCAAAGACCTGTTTTTTTCAATGATACTCCTTTACTTCCCCACAAATCCTATTGGTCAAAATCAGTCACAAGGCCAATGCAAATTCTACATTTTCTCTACCTCATGAGGAAAAACTTCAAGGCTACAATAAAATTAAATAGATTTAGTGTAATAGCAAATAATTCTGTAAAAACATGTATCTAGTGCTGGTGATGGTGATTTCATGGATAATTTTTATATTAATAATAAGTAGTTACATACCCCCAAAAGATTGATGTGTTAGCCCAATATGAAAGCGTATAAAGAATAATAAAACTATGATGAACAACAAGAAGTCACATTGCCAGAGGAAAATCCAGTAGAATGGAATCATAATCTGAATTGTTTTATAGTCAGTGTTTACGATCCATGTGTATTTCTGATTAGAAATTCTTTAAATGGCTTCAGCTCTAGTATGTACAAAAATTTCATCTTGTTTGTATGTTGTATTAACTAGAAAGTAAGTATGTATGTATGTATATGTGTATATATACTGTTTATCCTTTTTAAATCACATATATTACAAATTATTAAAACTTTCTAATTGGTTCATTTTTTCCTTTAGATTCTAAATACTCAAATAGCAGATACTGGCAGATATGTGTGCATTGCTCAGAATACTGCTGGAAGTACCAAAAAATATTTTAACCTCAATGTTCATGGTAAGGGTTTTTTCATTTCCAAAACAAATGGTAGGGTATACTGTAAGAAAAAAAATCTTTTAGATTAGACATACTGGCTTTCTGTTTTTAACTTGATCAGTATGTGAAGCTTGCCTTCAATCTCCTCTTCTTTTTTCTACCATAGTTAGCAGCATTTATAAAATGTTGATCTTCTAAAGCCTGTTTTTTTACCCTGTACCATTTCTTCAGTAAAAAGTAGTTACTCCTCCATAGTGGAAAGAGAAATCAAAATAGAAAGGCCCAACAACTACAAGTTTTTGTGAAAGCAAAACAACATACTGTAACTCTTTATAAAAATTTGTGACAGTTCTAATTGAAACCAGCTTTTGCCCTCAAGTGCAGAATTCATATTGAGTCACATCCCCTACTATCTAACATATTTCTTGAAGAAGAAAATCTCACTTTGTAGATTAAGTAATTCCTTCCGAGTCATGAACACACCTTGTCAAATTCAAGTTCCATACCAGACACTCCATAAATAATATCATGTTTGTGAAACTGGCAGTAAGATGCCTACCACAAAAGAGAAGTTTTATTTTTCTGAGATGGAGCTTCTTCCAGAATGTTAAGTTGGAATTGATGAAAAGTAGTATGTAAGTAATATGTACATTAAATTTTAGCTCATTTTAGCGATAGTTGAAATTTTTATGAAAATTACTCTTCTCAAGAGACTCATTTGACATGAAGGATGGATGTTTGTTTTTGTTGTGAGACACAAGAAGTATTAATATTCTACCATTTTATATTTATGTAACACAAATTTGAAACCTTTCCATCATTGTATTCCCAATGCTTAGCACAGTGAATAGGTAAATACCTAGTAGCTCAGTAAATATCTTTGAGGCTCTTTAATAAATAAATCTGACCTGGACAGCAACAGATATGCTATAAAATCTCATGAGGAGGAAATTTATTGGACAATTATAATTGTCATTAGTATAAGTTTTAATCTATACATAGAATAAATATTAAAAATCAAAATGTTGATTATTTTTTCCGATTCTACGAAGCAGCACTCAGTGCTTTCTTAGGGTACAGAACTTGGATATATAGTTAGTCAATTGAGTTATCTGTTCTGGTCATATCTGATTGTAATTATATATATATATATACTTTTACAGTTCCTCCAAGTGTTGTTGGTCCTAACCCTGAAAATCTTACTGTCGTGGTGAACAATTTCATCTCTTTGACATGTGAAGTCTCTGGTTTTCCCCCTCCTGATCTCAGCTGGCTCAAGAATGAACAACCCATCAAGCCAAACACAAATGCTCTAATTGTGCCTGGTAAGCAATTTATTATTTATATTATAGGTGGGAAAAAAAATCTTTCTTTTATTTTGACAAGTCGCATTTCAGCTTTGTCCCTCTCCGAACTTTGTCTTGTCCCACTTATTTCATCCCAGAAAATGTCTTTCTCTACTTATTTGGGAGTATTAAGGTATGACGGTACAGACTTAGGATTTTTGTGAAGCTGTTCAATAAAGAGATCTCCTCCAAAAAATTCTGAAACTTAGGAACGGAATGACTTATAATTCTGAGTGTAAAGGATTACTAGCATTTTTATTATTATAAATCCACTGGTTGTCTTTAAATCAACCTCCGGTTTTCTTTCCTTATTAGAAATTAGAACCCTTAATATAATGAGTACACACTAAAAAAAAAAGAAAAAGAATTACAAGGAACATAAAATAAGCTCTATTGCTGAGACAAAGGGTCAAGGAAGGAAGATGGCAAACAGAGAGGCTGGGTTGGGATGAAAATGGTCAAAGTACTTTATCTACATATATGAAAATAGAACAAAGGAATGTTGAAAATGTTTAGTCATGGGCAGATGATAATGTAAAATAATAGAAGGAGTTAGTTTGATTTGGTTCCTTCCTAAGTCTTTATGGAAATGTCACAATGAACCTTACCCCCTTATATAACTGATATGTGGTAATAAAAACTAGAATCAGTAATGAAGAATCATATAAAACTGATTCGATTATTTTTATTATATAAATATATAGTACTGGGGTTTGAACTCAGGGCCTTGAGTTTTCTAGGCAAATGCTCTACCACATGATCCACACCTACAGCCCTAATTTTTAGTGTAAATGTTTCTATACAAATTTCACTCCATGAGAAATTATGTATTATGTCATTTCTTTTATTGATAAGGTGGTTAACAAAACAACCTTGTACTTCAGTTTACATCACATTTGCCTGCAGGTGGCCGGACTCTACAGATTATTCGAGCCAAGGTCTCCGATGGTGGTGAATATACTTGTATAGCTATCAATCAAGCGGGTGAAAGCAAGAAGAGAGTTTCCCTGACTGTTTATGGTGTGTCTTTACTCTCCTTGGAGTGTTAATTCATATTAAAACTGACATTCAATATTACTTGAGAAACTTAACAAAAATAATAATAATCTTCTGTTCTTTTTCTATACACAGTGCCTCCAAGCATTAAGGATCAGGGCAGTGAGGTTCTCTCTGTAGTTAATGTAAGAGAGGGAACTTCAGTGTCATTGGAATGTGAGTCAAATGCTGTCCCACCCCCAGTCATTACCTGGTATAAGAATGGGCGGATGATAACAGAGTCTACTCATATGGAGATTTTAGCTGATGGACAGATGCTTCACATCAAGAAAGCTGAGGTACATCTTTTATTTCTGTTTGAGTATCTTGGCTCCTACATGGGTTATGAAGATATCAGTGAAAGTTGTATACTCCCTTTACGACAATGAAACATGATTATCCTTTGTTTGTTGTTGCTATTTTGGAAGTTGTTCATTTTGGATAATTAGGAACTCAAATTTTGTACTATGGTATTATTTCAAGTAACATTAGTTACTAAATGTGCCTGGTTTGTAAATTCTCGGGTTATTTATATAGAAAATATATACCTTGCAGTCGGGTGCTGGTGGCTCAGGCCTGTAAATCCTAGCTACTCAGGAGGCTGAGATCTGAGGATCATGGTTCAAAGCCAGCCCGGGGAAGGAAAGTCCGTGAGACTCTATCTTCAATTAACCACCAGAAAACTGGAAGTGGCACTGTGGCTCAAGTGGTAGAGTGCTTGCCTTGAGCTGAAGACCTCAGGGACAGTGCCCAGGCCCAGAGTTCAAGCTCGAGGACTGACCAAAAAAAAAAAAGTGTCTGTTTTTTTCTTTCCAATGCAGCTACAATAATATGGTACTGAATAAAAGTAGTGATAAGTGTTTAAAAATAAAAATATGCACCCAATGCTACTGAACTTACTTTCATAACAAAAAGGAAGTAAAATTGTTGAAGGAAAGTTGAAATGGGCCATTTGAGTATAAAGATGACTGATGATTCCATTACACCTGAGCAGTATGATTGGTCATCTATAACTTAATGGAGCACATACAACTAGTATCTTTTTCTTTTAGGTATCTGACACAGGCCAGTATGTATGTAGAGCTATAAATGTAGCAGGACGGGATGATAAAAATTTCCACCTCAATGTATATGGTGAGCATCAGCCTCTAATACAACTTGTTTTTCCCCCCAGATATGCAAATGAAAGAAAGTGTCCTCAATTAGCTTAATGTGGATACATGGTTTTCTTCTGTCTTCTTACAGTGCCGCCCAGTATTGAAGGTCCGGAAAGAGAAGCAGTGGTGGAGACAATCAGCAACCCAGTGACCCTGACTTGTGATGCAACAGGAATCCCACCTCCCTCCATAGCATGGCTAAAGAACCACAAGCCTATAGGTAAATACAGCTGTGCATTCTTAGGCTTGCCTTCCTTTGTTCTTTACTCACTAAGTTTATAAACTAGCACATATTTGTTATGTTTCATTATCAGTGTGCTTAGTTCAAGAAAGCCTAAGGAACTAAAATACAAATTTACAAAACAGACCCATTGTCAAAGGATTAGTCATTGGATAAAGAGAATTAGTCCTTCTTCAAAAAGCTTCTCATTGAAAATAAAAGTACAGAAGGAAAAGCATGACATTTTTATGGCAAGTTGTGAAAATGTTAAAAATAAATGCTTCAGGCTGTGGAAGCTTGTCAGGATCTAGATTCAATCTCCAGCACCACAGGAAAACAACAGAAACTTCTTCATGTTTTATTTTGCTTTGTTTCTACCTGTAGAAAATTCAGACTCATTGGAAGTTCACATTTTGTCTGGGGGTAGCAAACTCCAAATTGCCCGATCTCAACGCTCAGATAGTGGAAACTACACGTGTATTGCATCAAATATGGAGGGAAAAGCACAGAAGAATTATGTACTTTTGATCCAAGGTATGTCACATACACTATGATATATTTTCAGGTTTTGTTATAGAGTACAAAATAGTATAGATTTAAAAGGACTTTTTAGTAATTGACTCAAAATACCTTTAGGTCACCAAATATATTGTCAATTTTTGTCCTACATTTATCTGTGAACTCTATTCTCATAAAAATGGGTATAAATGTCCAAAAAAATAGTAGAATCAAGAAATCTCTAATATTTTTCTGTTTTAATGAAGTTATTATCTCTCTAAAATATATGGACTGAAATAGAGAATAGAGATGATTTCCTATAGGAAGGTAATAATTTAGCAGATAATATTTAACAAATCATAGCAATTTTAAGTTATTTATTTTCAAATGGCATAATATATTTTGAAATTAGGACTAAGTTTATTCTTATTTATATAGATTAGTAATAAAATGTACTGCCTGATTTTTATACTATAGTCTAATCACAAGTAGGAGAATGGGCAAATTTCAAATGATCAAGGTTCTTATATAATTTTATAGTGAGAGTAAAGAGCATTAATACATGAAATAAATATTTAGTTATTCATTCTATGTTCCAACATGATACTGAATACCATAGAGAGAATCTGGTTTGTGGTTTTAAAAAAAATCCAGTAAACCTCTGAGTAATGTCTTTTGACTTAAAACTGAAAAAGAAGTCAAACTTGAAACTAAATTGAAGTATTTTTCCCAGTTGTATTACAGTTACTACATAAAGAACCTCTCATAAATTACACATTTAATTAAGAAGATTACCTATTATATGCTCTCCTAAAACCAACTCCAAAAAGAAAAAAAATGGAAATTAACTAAAAGGAAGGTGTATCAGGAGCTTTTTTTTTCCATTTTATTTTATTTTTTTTTGTGAACATACTGTACAGAGGGGTTACAATTACATGGACAGGATAATGTGTACATTTCTTATCAAGCATTGCAGCCTCTTCCTTTGTTTACCCTTCACATCCCTTCCCAGCCCCCCCCCC